AAGGGAGATGACGTGCCTTTGACTTTTCTAGATCAGTCTTTCAAGACCTTCTAGTCCGCGGATATGGGATTTGCATCAACCCCTCTTCTTCACATCCCCGATAATACCAAGGACTTGCTTTAGTCGCACCGAGATTCGGCGGTTGCCTTCTTCGGTGATTTGTCGAGCAAGTTTGAATTGGAGAAGGCGGAGAATTGGTCTCTTTGGGCTACTGCTAGACTAGCCGAGCCCTCAGTGAGGGTTCCCAACCCCATGCTTAAGACATAAAGGTTCTGATGCTGGTAAGATTTTAGAACTTATGTATTTTATACTTTAGTATTTTTATTTTATTTCTTATTGCTTGTTCTTCAAACTCCTTTGCTTCTGCTGACTTGTTTCCCACCTTGCCGAACTTAAGGCTCAAGCAGCTGAAGAATATGCCGCATGTGTTAGGGCCAGCATGAAGGTTCTTCAGACAAATGCTGATATTGTCCTCCATGACTTGAAGAAGAATCTGTTTCCCCTTATGGATCAAGGGTAGAACTGGTGAGGAAGTATGAGGTCGAGGAGATTCCTGGGATGGAGTCTCGGATCCGAGAGCTAGAGGACGAGAAAAAGAAGATGGTTGAGGACTTTCGCCAGCAATCAACTGCTGATGAGAAGGAGTCGCTGGAGGAGAAGACGAATCTTAAGAACGAGATTCAGCGTCTCTAGAATAAGCTGAATGCGTAGAAGGAAGAGTCCCTCAAAGCCACTGCTGAGCTTGAAAGGGCCTTAGATCTGCTGAAGGTCAAGGTCTATATCGAGGCCGAGTATGAGGAAGGGTATACCATTGGTTTCAACGTAGCTCAGCGGTTGGCTTTCCATGTTGATCCCAACATAAATTGGGACCTGGCTGAGACTTGGGCCTTGGATGATCAAGATGTTCATCTGTGGAACCCCTGCCAGGCCAAAGTTGACTTTTTGGCCCTTTAAGCTGAAGCTGAGGCCCGAGTGAAGGAAGCAGCTGCAAGGGAAGAAGCTCAGAAGTTGAAAGCTAAGAAGGCCTTAGCCCGTCCTTCTTCATCCTCAGCTACTGCAGCCTCCAGTGGCCAAGACGTTGCTCTTTAGCCAGATTCTTTGAAGTTTAGTATTTGGTTTCTTTGAAGTTTCTGAACTTGGTTTGATGTAGCTCGGTGACCCGAGCATAACTTGCTGTTTTGAATTGCATTGCCTTTCTTTCTACTTGCCTTGCTCACTTGATTTGTTGCGCAACTGTGTTTTATTTATTTTGCAAAATTTTTCTAAGTGTTGAGCTTCGGCTTAGACCTATTTGGTCCTTTTTGCTGAGGGGACAAGGTTGATGTTTCTCTACTATCGTGTTGCCTGCCCCCAAAAATCTGAAGTATTTGTTTGATTTCACTTGTACGAACGAAGTCTTGATTCGCGTTGTCTAGTACCGCGTAGCAGAATTTTTTGAAGAGGTTTTTTTTTAAGAGTCTATGAGTTTGCTGCCGAAGTAAAGGACTCCAAGAGCAGTATTCTCTCAATCCTTAAGATTTTTGCGGGGGAATGACTATCCGAAGCACAATGCCAGTGGTTGGCTATGCCTCGGATATGACTATTTTGAAGCACGGTGCCAGTGCTTGGCTATGCTTTTGATTTGTCCATGGCCCCTTTGCCCCAAGGTACTGATTTATCCGAAGTACCGTGCCTTTAGTTGGCTATACTTCGGCTGTGAAATCATTGTTCCTTGTTGGGTAGATTTTAAGGCAATCCAAGTATAATGCCACTGTTGGGCTATACTTAGGACAATGCCGAAGGAAACCCTTTGGAAGACATATAAAAATGCAACATAAAAACATGCAAAATGGATCAAAATGCTGGCTCAAAGGCCTTTCATTAATTTCGAAAGATTCACTTACATAGATTGTTCTCCCCGGAGGGCTTACACATGGAATTTTTTCAATACATCAGCATTCCAGTGGTTCTTCAGCTCGGTTTTGTCCAACTAGCGAAGTCAGTAGGTTCCAGGCTGAAGTTCATCATGAATTTCATAGGGTCCCTCCCAAGTGGCCGAGAGTTTCCCATGAATGCGGCATAGCTTTCTGTACTGCTGCAGCATTTCGAAGAACCAAGTCCTCAATTCTAAGTGGTCTTGCATTGACCCTTCGGTTATAGAACTTACTGATTCTCTGCTTGTATGCAACCATTTTGTCTCTAGCCAAGTCCTTGACTTCTTCTAGGAAATCGAGGGATTCTTTCAGAAGCTGCTTATTTTCTTCGGCTAAGAAGTTATGGACTCGAAAGCTTTCAGTGCCTATTTCCACTAGAAGAACGGCTTCAGATCCATACACCAGCTCAAAAGGTGAATGTCCCGTAACCTCTTTTTCTATCGTCCGAAGGGACTAGAGGGTACCCAAGATTTCCTCTATCCATTTGGACTTCTGATCCTCCACTCTATTTTTGAGCGCATTGAGAATCTGCTTGTTCGCTGCTTCGGCTTGGCTGTTTCTTTGCGGGTGGTAAACTGCAGAATAGGCCAATTTAATGCCGAACTGATCAGTATATTACCTCAGCGGCAGATGTCAAATTGCCTTCCATGGTCAAAGACAAACACCTTCGGGATTCCGAAACGAGTGATGATATTCTGCCAGATAAACTTCCTGACAGTTTGCTCGGTGATGTTCGAGGTTGCTTCAGCCTCGATCCATTTGCTGAAATAGTCAATACTGACAATCATCCACCCTTTTTGGTATGGAGTATCGGGAAACGACCCCAAGATATCCAACCCCCATTGAGAAAATGGAAGGGGATAAAAAATCGGCTGAAGATCTCGGGCTGGCTGGTGGATGACTGGTGCGAATTTTTGGCATTTTTCGCATTTTCTGACCAGTTCCTTTGCATCTAAGACCATGGTCGGCCAGTGATATCTTTCCCTTAATTCCTTGTGGGCCAAGGTTCTTCCCTTGATGTGGTTCCCGCATATACCTAAGTGAATTTCCCGAAGGATATAATCAGCATCTGTTGGTCCGAAGGATATAATCAGCATCTGTTGGTCCCGCACACTTTAGTAGTGAGACTGAGAATGATTTTTTCAATAGCTCCCCTCTGAAGATGATGAATCTGGAGCTGATTCTCTTCAGCTTGAAGGCTAAGTTTATGCCTTCGGGAATCTCTCCCCGAAACTTGTAAGCTAGGATGGGGTCCATCCAGCTCAGTTCAAGTGCGATGCAGCAGATTTCAAGTGCTTCATCTACACTTATTCCCGTCGCACCTCTACATAAATAGATCGGTTCAGCTCAATTAGAGTTGAACTTGCGAGTTTGGAGAGTGCATCGGCTTGTGCGTTCTGAGACCTTAGGATCACCTCGACTTCAAAAGTCCTCAGCTTCGCAATTATCATTTTGATTTTTGCGAGGTAAGCAACCATTGAGGGTTCTTTTGCCTCATACTCAATCGCCTCGGATCTGATTTGCGACAAACTGAGAGTTTGTTTTTAAGCAGACATGTTTGGCTTCCAATGATATGCACAACTCTAAGCCAGTAATTGCTACCTCATATTTTGCTTCGTTGTTTGAAGTTCAAAATGCAAATTTGAGGGCATATTCGAAGGACTTACCTTCAGGCGAGGTAAGTACTACCTCCGCCCCGGATCCATCCGTAAATATGGTCCGGGTCTTTTTCTCTTCGTCTAGCGTCTCGGCATCTGTCAGAGTGTGGCTGACAAAGTAGATCAGCTTTTAGACCTTGTCTTCTTCTTTCAACAGAACCACGCTCACGGTGGCAGGGTTGACTGCCACGTATAAGTACAAGGTTTCTCCTTCAGCTGGACGTGCTAGCATCGGGAGTTGAGCCAAATGTTCGTGGAGCTGTCTGGAGGCTTCTTTTTGCTCGTCTTCCCAGATGAGCTATTTTGTTTTAGGCAGCTTTAGAGCCTTGAAGAAGGGTAAGCCTTTGTCCGAAGCTTTGGAGATGAACCTTGACAAGGCTGTCATTCTCCCAGTCAGCCAATGTACGATCCTCTTGGTTTTCGGCTTGGGAAGATTGAGCGCTACTTGTACTTTGGCGGGATTGGCATCAATCCCCCTTTTGCTGACCATGAAGTTCAGGAATTTGCCTTACTTCACGCCAAAGACACACTTCTTCAAATTCAGCTCCATTTGAAGTTTTCTTAAGGTGGCGAATGTTTCGGCTAGGTCCGCAACATGGTCCTTGTCTTCTTTGCTTTTAAAGATGGAGTCATCAACATAAACTTCCATGCTGTGGCCTTTTTGATCGGCAAAGACTTAATCCACCAGCCTTTGGTATGCTGTCCCGACATTGTACACCCCAACGTTCCTAACGAATGCCATTTTTGCTCGATCGTCAGGGTGCATAAAGATCTGATGATACCCCGAGAATGCGTCCATGAAACTAAGCAGAGCGTGGCCACTTGTCGAGTTGACTAGCTGGTCGATCCTCGACAAGGGATAGAAATCCTTTGAACAAGCTCTATTTAGGTCTGTGAAGTCAACGCCTATTCTCTAGGTGCCATTGGCCTTCTGAACCATCACCACATTAGCTAGCCATTCCGGATATATACAGGGCTCGATGAAGCCTGCATCCAGAAGTTTTTTTACTTTGACTGCGATGTTGCGGTTCTTATTGACGGAGTAATTCCGCTTCTTTTGCTTGACGGGTCGATAGCTGGGGTCGACGTTCAGCTTGTGAGAGATGAGGCTCGGGTCAATCTCAGGCATGTCTGCGGCTGAGAAAGCGAACACATCTCGGTTGTCCCGAAACAGTTGGATAAGCTCGACTTGGATACTTGGATCAAGTCCGAGCCCGATGCTCACACATTTTTCTAGGTCTCCTTCGGTCAACTCGATTGACTAAGTCTATTGGTCCAGCTCCATTGCGTTGGAACCGAACTCTTCATTCTCCGGCCTGCTGTCGATGTCAGCAGGCTTTCTAGACTTCGGCCGGCTTTCCGAATCTGTTGCTTCGGATGAGGAGCCAGCCTTTCCTTTCCCCTTTGATATTTCTTGGGATGAGGTCCCCTAGGCCAAAGCACTTAACCCCTTCTGCTTCTTGGTGATTCGGTCCTTCTCTCTTTCTTTATCCTCATCATCTCGGTCTTCGCGACGGTCCTTGGATGGCTTGAGGTAGCTGCATTTGTGGGCAACTTCTTGGCTCCTTTGAATTCTTTTGAAGTGACCTTCGTCCGACACATATATCATTAACTGATGATATATGGAGACCACTCCTTGGATTTGGTGAATCATAGGTCTTCCCATGATCACATTGTAGACAGATGTAACGTCCATGACCAGGAATTCAGCCATAATGTTCCTAGCTGCTAGGTCTTTGCCGATGGTAACGGGAAGAGTGATCTTCCCATCTGGGTACGTTGCAGAACCATTGAATCCAGTAACCGAGTAAGGTACCAGACTAAGGTCCTTAGTTTGCAGCTTCAAGCAGGTGTATGCATCCCGAAATAGGATGTTCATCACGCTACCGCCGTCCACGAGGGTTCGCCAGACGTTGTGGTTTGCAATCCCCATGATGATCACCAACGGGTCGTCATGGGGGTATGCTACCTCCCGACAGTCTTCGGCTGTGAACGTAATGTTCGAAACCGAAGATTTGGGACCTCGGATGGAGGCGTGATTGACTTGATGGGTTAAACCCTTCAAGTGGCGTTTACGAGCGTTGCGGGAGCTCGTCCCCCCGGAGACGAAAAGGATGTCAGGATTCTCCTTGTCTCGCGGCTTGTCCTTCTTCCAGTTGAAATCTATTTTCTGCCCAGAGTCTTGCTCGACTTTCTTCTCCTCACGGTGGTCTACGATGTATTTTTTCAGATATCCCTTTCGGACTAGATCCTCGATCTGATCCTTCAGCTGGATGCATTCTTTAGTGTTGTGTCCATGAGCATCATGGAATTCACACTATTTGTCTTTGTAGTGGCGCCCGCGACTTCTTCCACTTCTTGTCGTTCTTCGTTATGCTATAGATTTTAGCACGAGGAAGAGTGAGAGGGGCGTAGGATTCGTATTTCCTTACTAATGGGGTTATGTCTTTCTTCGCCTCAATAGTCGAGGAAGATTCTGAGGCTTTCGCCTTCCCTTTCCTTTGGCTCTGGCTGTCAGACTGGTGTCTTTTTGCCTTACCAGTCCCAATTTACGGTTGAGACTTGGTTTTGTTCCATTCCTCGGCCCGAATGTATTTGTCCGAAGCATCAAGGGCTTCCTCCAAGATCTGCGGGGTATGCATGAGCATGAAGTCGAGGAACTTTCCGGTTTGCAGCCTATTCCGCAATGTAAAAACGGCCAGCCCTTGGTCCAGACTTGTGATCTTGAAGGACTCGTTGCTAAAGCGGGTCAAATAGTCTTGTAGGCTCTAGTTCTCCTTTTGATGCATGCCCATAAGCTCTATAGTGGTTATCTCTCGGCGGTTTGCCGTAGAGAATTTGCTCTTGAACTTGTTGGAGTGGTCTTTCCAACCGGTTATCGAGCCTTCCTTTACCCCTTTGGTGATCCACATTTGCGCGACACCTTTTAGGGTTGTTGGGAAATATTTGCACTAGGTCTCTTCGGACCTGGGGTTCAGATACATGCGCCCCTCGTAAGAGGCAATGTGGTCTTTTGGATTCGAACTCCTATTACATGTGATGTGTGTTGGGATTTTCACTGTTGGCACTCTTTCTTATAGGATCCATTTTTGGAATGGGGAACTGGAAGGTACCATCACGGCTTCCCCTTGGTCTCAGCCGTTGGGACCTCGCTTCCTCCCCTGTGAGAGGCGGAAGTGGTTTTCGTCCTCGGCTAGGATCATGAAAGGTAGGGTTGCTTTCCATCAGGGTAGGTGAGGCGGTTGTGGATGTTCACCTCCCTTGAGCCAATATGTTCGTGAACGTTTCGGCGAGTAGTTTCTGGCCGCGTGGAAACGGTGTTACTGCTCTTGAAGCTTCGGTCATCGGGTTCCTCGAAGAACTAGGGGTTTCTTTTTCTTTCCCGCTCAGTCCTACAAGTATCCTCTTCCCAATGCTTCCCGAGCTCTTTGTGAGATGGAGTTCGTCCTCCATCCACTTGACCTATTCTCCTTCTCTGGTTTCTTGACTGCTCAATTGTATCAGCGTGCACCAAGGAGACAGGAGGTGGGAACTGTTGGTTTGCATGGGCTTTCATGAAGTCCATGAAAATCGCAAGGGCTTTTTCCACCTCTTCAGAAATAGGACCCGTCTGGGGAGTCCCCCTCGGGTGAGATTGTGAATGGCAGCTAGGAGTTGGACTCTTAGCATTCGACTGACTCGGCCGGCAAGAGCTCGACGACTGTGCAGTGTTGTGAGACGGTCTCTCTGGTGTGGCTCTCTCAGATGATGCAGCCTCCGAAGACGAAGATGAAGAAGGACTCTTCTTCGAGGAAGAAGGATTAGTTTTCTTCGCGCTCTTAGTCATGTTGCTAAGATGATTGATTTTTGGCTTGTTTTGATTGTCTTCCCCACAAACAGCGTCAAATTATTTCGGATGAAAACAATGGGTCCTTCGTATGGACCTTTCTTGTGGTTTGACTGGACTCGGCCCAAGTGATGAATAGGACCAGGGTTTCTTGCACAACAAGCACACGTAAATTGGCCTGGGGGTGGTGAAGTTAGTACGGTGTTTTTAGAGAGAGAAAGCTATGCAAGAGTATTAATTGCTTGAGGCTTGATGTGAATGCCTTGAGAGGGAGAGAAGTGAAGGCTTTTATATATCTTACTCAAATAGCTTTAATGGGCCTTTTAGACATGTGGGCTTGCCACGCTGATTGGGTCTTCTTTGACTTACTTGGCATGCTTGAGGGGAGTTGAACCTTCTTTGGGCTTTTAATTTGATCATTTGTGGATTGGCCCAATTAGAATAAATTGGACTCAAACACCCTTTATTTTCGATTAATTATAACATGTAAACGTTTGCATTGTTCATTAATTATCTATTTAAGTGTATTAAATTTTTTTACATATTTCTTCTACGAAACAATTAAAATTTTGTTTTGAAAAATATAAAATAAAAAATATATCAATTAATCTAAAACGGATGGAGTATACATATACAAAGTATAATGTTTGTATAGTTACTTAGAGCATGTTAAATTGTCAAATGTCAACTACTCGTATGAAGGGAAAAATTGGTACACGTCTACTCTATAGCTATTATTTTATTCCTGCCAAATTATTAGATACTGTAATTATAATAGGTTATCTTGGATCACTTAATTTTGCCTAATTTAAAATGGTACTACGTCGTATATTGATTTATTGAGAGGTGAGGTGAACGGTGTTGTAATGATTCATGAATCATTATCCATCATTTATGAATCTCTTGGACATCAGGAATAATGTTAGGCAGTTGTGGCATCATATGATTAGAATATGCTACGTAAAACATAATTGTATGATACGTTTCGTCATTGATATGAACAATATAAGAAAGGAAAAACTAATTGAATGAGTTTTATTCTGTTATGTAGAATATAGATATAGTATTAGTTCCTTCAATTATACTACCTAATATTCCCGCCCTTTCCATAACTGTAATGCTATTTTATATGTTGTTGATTGGGTGCATTTTGTAATGCTATTTTATATGTTGTTGAATGTTTATCGAGTACTTTTCAAGTGCCTAAGTAACTATAAAGTCCTTATACAGTTATACTTTAATAGCTATGAAATAAATTATACGGAGTATAATATATTTGGTTTCTTGAATTCTATTCAATTGTTGTAGCTATGAAAATCAAGAAGAACCTAAAAGGAGACCACTCATATGATTATTATTTCTGTACAATTTATTTGCACCATTTGAATTATTTAAATGTACTCAACAACTAAAATTGGAGTTCGTTGTCCAAATTTGAAACTCAAATTCATGGATTTATTGTCTAAAATCTAAGACTCAATGATCAGGATACGAGACTCATTGTTCAAAGTCTAAGAATCTAATCGCAAAACCTGAAACTGGTCACCAATGTATAGTACTCATTGTTCAATATATGAGATCATTGTTCAAAATTTGAGATTTATTGTACAATAATGTGTGAGACTCATTGTTCAATATATGAGACAAATGGCCGAAAGCGAGTTTCCAAAAAGACTGTTATATTAGCCCTGGTTCAACTCACATGGCATAAGAATTGACGCCTAGCATATAAATTTAAGTGAGATTGTATCTTAAAATCGCATGACAGTTAAAAGAGTAATCCGCTAATTTACATGTTTAGAATTAGTCATGTTGTCACCAGGTTTTTGATATAAGACAATTTTTTATTCATACATGGAAAATTTCTAACATGTTATCCTCTTAATTTTTGCATAATGCCCTTTTATAAGACAAATTAGTTGTTTACTTCTCATTCTACAATCCACATACCTCCATTGAAGTAAAATTATAAACTTAAACGTAGTATTTGAAATTTTAATTTTAATCTATTTCAATTGGAAAACGCGCGCAATTATTTTTTTCCATGTCTAGAGCTAATACAAGTATTACTTAACAAATGAGGACATAAGAGATGGAGGGATGGTTAGTCCCTCTATCTCCCTCCCAAGTGGTTGGGGGTTCGATCCTCGTCACCCCATTCCTGTGATAGGGTGGGGGACCTCTAGTATCTTATCGTATAAAAAACTAAAAAAAAAAAAAAAGCCTGTATTATTTAACAAGTAACAACTTAAAAAAGGGATGGAATATTATGCCCACTTATGCTAGCTAGGTTTTATGGCATTATATTAGGAGTTTACTTTATCCAATTGTCAAGTGAAAGCAAAATTAAAAGAGGCAAATTCTATGAGTACATCCAAAGTTGACAATTCCTATCTACTCTTTCAATACACAAACTTCGTTAGGCGGCAAAGACCTAGTCAAAGTAAATGTGAATTTTGCAAGTGCATTTGTCTATATATTCGCTCTAAAACTTACCAAGTCTACAACTAGTAAGATTCGCAATGGGAGTATCAATGTATCATCCTTGAACCAATCGTATGCTAAACAGCCTAGAGCATGGATTAAAGTGTACCTCCTGCTTTTTAATTATTGCATGCATTAGAACTTTTTTTTAAGAGAAAAATAGTAGTCATAGCGTAAAAATTAAAAAGTGACGGAGGGAGTAATTATCTAGAAGATTCCTCGATTTTAATTTTTAAAACTCCTAATTATAAAATCTAAGTAGGCCTTGTTTGGCAAAGAGATTTTTGAAGAGTTTTTAGCTTATTGTGCCCTATTAGAGGTTTGACTATTTAGAAAAGTTAATTTGGGTATTTGGTATACAGCTTATTAAAAAAGTTTTTTGGGCTCAAAATCTCTTTTACAAAAAGATCATTATAAGAGCTTTTTAAAATGAGCTTATTGAACAATTAGTTTTTTTGGCTATTAAATACACTAAAACAACTAACAATTTATAACTATTACCATACACTAATACACAACCAGCTAGTCAAATCATCTGATATAACTAGCTATATAAATCAGCTACCAGCTAAATACCAAATAGGGTTATGTATTTTCTCCATACGAGTTTATTTGAACCTTTACCCTAATTTGGTTTGATGTCATCACTTTATGTTTATTCTCTTATTACCACTCCAATATGATCTTTGATTAAGTATATTTTAATAACATAGGCAACTTACCTGATCATATAATGCAACCAAGAGCTTTCTTACCCGGAGGCAATGCTTCCATTACCCAAGTGTCATTAAAGAGCAGTAATCTCCTTTTGCATAGCCTCGCGCCACCCCTCATGTTGCATTGCCTCATTGAAATTTCGAGGCCCAGACACCGTATCCACAACTGCAATAAAGACACGGTGTCGCACAAAAAATTTATCACAATTCACAAAATGTGCTAAAGGATAGGGAGTATCTGAAGAGCATGGAGTAGACGATGAATGTGAGGAGATAAATGGACTAGAGATAGTATGTGCTACATAATCTTTGTGCCAACCCGGAGGATGTCGAGGGTGTTGACCACGGCCCAAATCAGAAGCAGAAGGTTTCGGAGTAGCCCCTGTGCCACAATCCGAATTGTCTACAGTAGCAGCGGCAGGAAAAACCGCGAGGGGGCTACAGTCAGCAGTGGCAGCCGCGGTTGGGCTGCGGTCCATGCTGCCTTTTTCCTCATTTTGAATTGTTCCTCCCAAATAATTTGGTATGCAATAATGCAAGAACGTGATCCATTTAAAGTGGCAACTTCTTTTTTTGGTGTTTAGAGAGCCACAAGAGTGGAGGTAAGAATCGATCTGAAGATCTCCTGGAATTGGGAGGGAAGCTTTAACCATTTGAGCTTTAACCGGGAGGCAAGTGCATTTGTCCATTTAAAGTGGCAACTTAATTCTCGTATAACAAGCCGTATTATAAATTGACTCTTTACTAGTACTTTCACTTGCCTACGAAAGCGAGTTTCAAGATGATAACATTTCCAACAAAACGGAAAGCACAATTTTCAACTTTTAATTGTGCGCAATAAGTAATGATCAATGTTTATACTTATGTCTGAGACATGAGACAAGATAATATTCATATTACAACGTTCAACTTAACAAACATAGGTTATTAATCTTAGCTAATAGGCCAAAAACTCATGTTAAAGCTCGTTATTACAGTACAAATTCGCAACACATAATTGGCATACTCGCAAGTCGCAACAGAAGTACAATGAAAATCTCCAAATTCTAATTGTAAAATGTAAACCATAAGTATTCTCATTAATTTTATTTTTTTTATGATACAAACCTCATAACTTCATAGTCACTCAAAGAATTGAGGACATAATAGTCATGAATTATACATACTGCATACCAAAAACACACAATTTCTCGCTTTTTTTTCTTTTTAAATCTTCAATTTGATAATCTCACCGACGGACCCACAAGAAGCCGTAAACGGTATCATTGATCGTTTTTTTCCTTTCTGTTTTTTAGGGTCAAATATTAAAAATCTACTGAGATCTAATCTTCTGCTTGAGGAAAATCTCACGGAGTTCAGCAACATCAATCTCAGCCGCACGATTAGCCGGCCTGTAGTATCCAGTTACGGGATCTGGGACCCACGAGTTCTCAGCTGACCGTCCGATCTCTTCTTTCGATGGTTTCTTCCCACTTCCTCCTACTCCTGAAACCCCTTGTGCTGCCGCAGCGTATCCTCGCCTGTTCATTCCAATATTTAAATTAAACGTTAAATCACTTTTTAGTACTTTTCTCCATCCGTTTAAAAAAACTATCTCGGAGTGAAACGACGAGTTTAAAGGAAAAGATTGATAAAAACGACGAGTTGGGCATACCTTTGAGAAGCAATGGAGACGTTGTCAGCGACAAGGGATAAAAACACCTTAGCGTTGAATAGAGAGCGAGCCATTGATACTTTTGTTGTTTGAAAATTTTATTTAAACGAGAATTGAATATAAAAAACGCCGCCGTAGAAGGAAGTTCTAGTCAAGCAAAACCTCCGTCGACGACGGCGGAAGAAGAGAATATGCAAGCTCTTTGTGTTGGCCTCTGTTATTTCACTGTTGAAGGAGGCTGTTGATTGTGGAGATGGGTTTTGGGAGGGGAGTGAATGGGGGTATATATAGAAGAGGGTTGAGGAGTGCAAGTGTAAATTAAATTAAAGAAAAAAAGTGTGGCAAGTGGTGAGAAATGAGAAACGAAGGTGTCCCGGTAGGGTTAGTAAAGGACTGGGTCAAATATGTGCGCCCTTTTTTCGGGTTTTCATCGCCTTCTAAGGGTACTATAAGGTCGTTTTACGTATTTGTCCCTCGTACGGAGTAATTGTCATCTCTGATCTCGGATACTAATAAGTATAAGTAGTAATTTATTATTCTCGTAGTTATCTTTTTGTTTCATCGTCTTCTTATTTTATTATTATTATTTTTATCTATATACAAATGTTTCATGCTTCGTAGTACATATAATAAGAGGCCAGCACTGCTATTATGATACTTCCAATTTTTTCCCTCATCCATTTTACCTAATCATACCGTAAATTAAAATGTACTTGTAAATTTCAAAATGAGGGAAATATATATATAAGATAGAGAAAGCAATAGAAGTAAGCTTAGTAATCATACTTAATTAATAAACTTGAATATTATATTTTTTCTGTTTTATCTAATTGGCCAAATTCTTTTTATATCTTTTAGTATTTGTTTTTTGCTTTTATCTAAATGGAATGCTAGCTTAATTGAAATATTGTGAATCAACATGTTGCCACGTTCATTGTTCATACACATCATAGTGAACCAAACATATTACCATCATCAACCCCCTTTTTTTTTTTTTTTTTTTTTTTTTTTTTTTTGGGAATCATAATTTATATTAGTTGATAGAGAATAATAATAAACAAAAAGAAATGTGTAATTCAATATATATATATATGAAATTTGTCCAAAATAAGTCAACCTTTATACGATTAGGCAAGGAAGGTTTGTGAGGGATTGAGTGTACAGTGCATGGGCAGTGGTTCCTGGGTGGCTCAGCAGGTGGTGGGTCAAAGGGGGTGAGGGATTTTCACAAAAAAGAATTTAGAAAATAAATAAGTAATAAAATAACATAAAAAAAAAAAGTAACCTGTTGGGCAGGTTGTAAGTTATTAGGCCTAACTAAATATAATACCCCAAAAGATCGACTTATTCTTAGTTTATTGAAAGATTGACTTATTTTTGACAAATTTTTCATATATATATATATATATATATATATATATATATATATATATATATTATTTTTGAACAAAGGTGTAATTCAATATTAACTCATACAATCACATAATATACAGAAAAAAATAAATCTGAAAATAAAAGGCTGAAAAAAAAGGTAACGGCAAAATCGCTTTCGGTCATTTGCAATGAAAGGCAGCAAAAAAATAGGAGACGAATAAACACATAAAAAATAGTGAAGGCACTTATTATGGTTTGAAACAGCAGAAGGCAAGTTGACCACAGTTATCAGAGGTGAGAACGAAGGTAGAAGTTTCAAGAAGCAAACAATGAAAAATTAAAAACAAAGATGGAGGTGATCCACCATACACGTGTAGTAAAAGTATAAGTAGTAATAATAAGAAGCGGCGTAGGTTCTGTGTATCTGTATCTTTCGTTTTCGAATCTCCTAAATTTAAATCAAACCAAAGCTTCTTGTTATCCCGTAGGACCACTCTGCCTTGCTCGTCGACCTCTGCTCTAATTATTTTAGACTTGATTTTTAAGATATCACTAATTTAGTTTCTTCTATCTCTCTCGCTTTTTGATTTTTATATTTCTTCAATTTGTCATTTTTCCCACTTGTATGGTTAATTGTGGTGTTGGGCTCAACTATACAGTTTCGTATCCTCTTCTAATTATGTACAAACTCAATACGAGTATACGACTAGTTCGACTACAAGTGTGTAACGATGTTTGACATATATGTACTTAATTATCAAGCATGGTCTAGTGGTAAACTTTATACTCCCTCCGCTTTTAGTTATTTGCAATAATGGGAGGTTGCACACATGCCAAGACAAATTTTTCAGAGATTGATTAATAGAGGAAAAGGGGGTAGTGGGGTATGTGATTAAAGAATGGAAATGGGAGGGAAAGTTATTCTTTTTTTATAAGGAGAGAGAAAAAGTGAAAAGTGTTGACCCAAATTTAAAATTTGGGGGCAATTTTTTGCCCCAAATTTTTAACCCCCCCCCCCCCTCTTTTTTTATTGTTTCAACATGCACACAGAAACCAGTGTAAGGGAAAATTTAAGAGGGAAACTTGAAATTTTCCCTCCATATACAAAATCCTTACAATTCAAATTTTTCCCCCCATTAAATTCTGCATTCAACAGGGGGTATTTAAAGGCCCTGCCAACAGTAACATCAGAATATTCAATGTTTACAAAAGATTACAGGACATTTAGTCCTCTTCCCAACAGTCAAGTCTAACTAAAATCCAAAAAAAAAAATCATACTGCAAAGTCAGTTGCAGCTTCATCGTCTTCTTTCTGGTTCAGCAACAGCAACCCAGTAAAAAAAAAAAGCTCCTACTCGTCATCACCAGACCTGACAACTAAGGAACTCAGCATCATAAGTACACTGAACATGTCAGGCATTTTTTCACATGATGCATTTTTTAGCATAGATCAGATGTTAAATGAGGAACTCAATATGGGAGACATTCATGCAGACATGGAAGGGACATGTCACAGTCAAAGCAACAGCACACATCATGGGGGTGGATTTCAGGAACCCAAAGGAAGAAAGCAACTGACTGTTCATCAGAAAAGGGAACTAGTAGATGGTTATCTACTCAAGCTGAGGGGGGGGGGGAGTTGCCAAGGGGTTACTTATCACAACAAGCAAGAAGACTCAATGTGCACAGATCAACAATCCAAAGAGTTTTCACAGACATCAAAAACCAAATGGCAATGGGGAATGTCATAGATGTCAGAAGCAAAAAATTGGGAAAAACTGGACCCAAACCCAAAGAATACACTGATGAGTTTATGTAGTCAGCACCTTTGTACAAGAGGGCAACTGAGAGAAGCTATGGAGCTACTCTAAAGATTTCATCTACAGCCATTCACAAACTAAAGAAACAGGGGGGACTCAGAACTCATACAAGCACAAACCACCCAGCACTCACATCCAACCACAAAATAGCTAGGATGAAATGGGTTTTAAATCACATACTACCTGCCACACAGAACAGGGACCCCAAGTTTATGGACATGCAACAAGTGGTCCATGTTGATGAGAAGTGGTTCTACTTGAACCCAGAAAATAGGAGGTTTTACCTTCTACCAAATGAGCCAAACCCCTATAGAGCCCAACAGTCCAAGAGGTTCAAAATCAAAGGGATGTTCATGGCAGCCATAGGGAAACCAGTGTTTTCCCCTAATGGAGAAGTACTTCATGATGGAAAATATGGAATATGGCCATTTGTGTATGAAACTACAGCCAACAAAAAAAGCAAAAACAGAGATGTTGGTACAGTGGAAATAAAAGCCACACAGAATGTAAACAAAGAAGCTATAAGGGCAATGCTATTAACAAATGTTATTCTTGGAATCAAAGCAAAATGGCCTTCACATCTGCCCAAGGACATATTCATTCAGTGGGATAATGCAAGACCTCATCAAATTCCAAGGGATGAGGAATTTGAATCAGCATGTCAGTCAAAAGGATTCAACATTCAATTCATCTCTCAGCCAGCACAGTCTCCTAACTTAAATGTGCTGGATCAAGGGCTGTTCAATGTAATACAATCCATACAATACCAATCCTTTCCCAAGAACCTTAAGGAACTCATTGACAAAGTGAAAGAGGCTTATGATTTGTTCAATCCAATGTTGAACAAGCACTGTTGGATAACTCTACAGTGTTGCATGGAAGAGATACTAAGGCACAAAGGAGGGAATAATTTTACCCCACCCCATAAAGGAAAAAAAAAAACTTGAGAGGATAGGGATGCTGCCAAAGATACTACATGTGGACAAGAATGTGGTTCAAGAGGCTGTGGATTACCTCAACACTCTATTCATATCAACAAGTCAAGAGAATGTGGAAGATGAAGAGATGCAAGTAGATGCAGACTGAACTGAAGTCAAACAATGGAAGAAGGTTCTAGTGAGACTGCCACACATAACCAGTGAGAAGCTATGAACATGAATTCAAATAGTATGTGCTGTGTTATTATTTTTTGTTTATTACAGCATGTCTTAACAACCTATAAGTGGGAAATGTACAAGTTTTTGTCAACTTCTATAAGTTTTAATTACAAAGGTGGTTGTTTTTATTTACAAGTACATAACAAAACCATCATCTACATGTGCAAAACAGAGACATAGCATCATTCCATCAGATGGGATATTTTTTTTTCATAGACATTGCATAACTGGTTCCCTCAACAACTACCATCTGGAGTAGTTGGAGCAACTCCAAGTTATGAATGTTAGCTGTCAATTGAGTCCCTTCATCAGTTGGAATTTACAGGCACACACAACAAAGTGAGGGACTCTTATGTAACCTAGGGACAGATATGAGATAGGGGGACTCATACAGGCACAGTCATGCAACCCACAAGTTCATCATCATTCACCATAGCACAAACCCCATTGCCAATTGGACATGAAATTACCAATAGCCCATTCACTGCCCACCAATAGCTACCATGAATAGCAGACAAATCATACAGCATTTTAAATTGTTAAAACAGGACAACCACCAACTAAAGCTTTGAGCAACCCCACCATAAGGGCAACCAGAGCAAAAAGAGGGTAACCAGAGCAAAAATAGGCCAACCAGAGCAGAGATAGGGAAAACAGAGAAAAATTGGGGAAACCATAGCAAAATTGGGGAATCTAGAGAGCAATTAGGGCAACCAGAGCAAAATTAGGGCAAGGACAGCAAAATAAGGACAACCAGACCACAAGTAGGCCAACCAGACCAAAATTAGGAAAACCATATCAAAATTAGGGCAACCAGAGCACAATTAGGGCAACCAGAGCACAATTAGGCCAACAACAGCAAAATTAGGGCAACCATAGCACAATTAGGGCAACCAGAGCACAATTAGGCCAACAACAGCAACATTAGGGTAACTAGAGCACAATTACACCAACAAGAGTAAAATTAGGACAACCACAACAACATTAGGACAACCACAACAAAACTAGGACAACCAGAGCACAATTAGGGCAACCACAACACAATTAGGCCAACAAGAGCAAAAATAGGGCAACCACAGCAAAATTAGGACAACCAGCATGAAATACGAACAACAATTAACAATTTAAGACACATAATAGAATGTAGGTAAAGAAATGCGTTACGCTGCTAGATTAGTTTGAGGTAGAGGTGAAAGGGGTGTACGACCCTGCACTTTCAACAGATTCAGCCATAGGGGACTCAGATCTCAGGCGCTTTCTCCCAGTCTGGACGTGGGTAGACTTAGATCTGACCTCACGCACCTCCTCCTTAACAGATCTACCCTCTACAGGGGTTGGAACTGGGGTATCGTCATCATCGTTATCAAGAATAACGATTTCAGGAGCCTTCTTGACGCAAACCTCAACGTCTTTGCCCAGATCTGACTTCGACGCCTCACTACGCTCCTCATCTGAGTCGTAAGGAGTCAGTTTGGCACCCCACCCACCTCCACGTTTCATATCAAGGTACATAGCAGTACGCGTCCCTATCAAACACATCTTCCCAGTGCGTTTCTGGCATTTGTAGGTGGCCACAACGTCACGATCTGCCTTGTTACGGTTAGGGGACTCATTTTGTAAGCGTTTTGGAAGAATTAGGGACAAGGACACCTAGATCTGCCAAAGTTAGGGTTTGGAATTGGAGAGAGAGTGAGAAAAGGGACGAACTATATGTGAGAAGAGAGAGAGTGCGAGAGTGATAAACGAAAACACAGAGTAATTCTGTGTAAGTGACAGAGGTGAACCCAGATGAAAAACTATCATTAATGGTGGTGGATGAGAGGTTCATTGAATTGGGTAGTTGGGAAGATGAATAGGTCTTCAGAATTAAAATGGGATGGTGTAGGATAATTTTTTGGTGGGAATGGTTATGTTAAATGGGTTGGGATTAACTTAAGTTAAAAACAATTACACAATTGCTTAGAATATAATTTGTTTTTTAAGGGACAAATTTGTAATTTCACATATTATAAAGTTCCTAAATTTGGAAATAAATCAGTTTGTTGCAAATAATATAAAGCACCCCGATTTGGTAAATGTTGCAGATAACTAAAAGCGGAGGTAGTATCTTACAACCATAAGGTAGGGGATCAAACTCCAATAAAGACATTTTGGGGTTTTAATCCAAAAATTATACTTCCTCCGTTCTTTTTTTATTGCATCATAGGGGTTTTGGAGGCAAAATTTGGTAGTGAAAAAAAGTAAGAGAGAGAAACGTAAAAATACAAAATTATCCATGTAATATAAAGATAAACTAAAAAGTAAGTGTGAAAAAATAAGGGTATGTTGGGTATTTGCAGTGTGAATATAGATATTTTTTGTCCTAAAATGGAAATGATGCAATATTTGTGAAACTTCCCTAAAAGGCAAGTGATGCGATATTAAAAGAACGGAAGAAGTATTAAAAATGAATTATGTTACAACCACATTGATTTCAATCCCAAAATAGGACACAAAAATCCATACTACAACTAATTATAGTACTTAAAAAATCCATCTTACAAGCCGAAAGTACTACAAATAACATGTAACAAACAAATTGTACCCACCCATTACTTTTAATAATAGCAAAAAAAAAAAAAAAAAAAAAAAAAAAAGGTAAAGTGACCTTAGAGACCGGTTGTTTATCAACCGGCCTCTTTGACCCATTATTCTTAACAATAGCAAAATATGACCTTAGAGACCAGTTGTTTAAACAACAGGTCTTTTTTAATTAAAAAAGAAAGCAGCACGGTAGTGAATAGTCTGAATATTGCCTCACTGTTAGCATTACTACAAGCATCTAAGAACCGGTCTCTTTGATTGATTTTTTTTTTTTAATTGAACTTTATTTTCTTTTTTGGGCTGGTGAGTCACGTGCACCACTGTGCACCAATGTAGCTCCGCCCATGGAATCTTCTTACCCTCCTCTCCCCCCACTCCCAAAGTGCCTAGCTCGCTAATCCTAGTCAGGAGGACCTATGAAAGGTTTCGGCCTGGTAGGGCCTTTATCCTTACCAACCGAAAAAAAGATATAAGATATATATATATATATATATATATATATATATATATAATCCTATAAAGGCTATTTAGGTTAGTTAGATGAGTTCATGTGAAGGAAATATACCTTAAGTCTTGTTTTGGTTGACTTATTTTTAACTAATCGTACCGTTACCAAATTATAGAGTACAAGTTAATAACTACTCTGTTGTTTTAATAGCTACTAGCTAGTTACTTAAAAATCTAAAAGTCTATAGGTACTGCTATTTTTCACAAACATGGCCATAGGGAGAGATTGGAACATGATTGTATTTGTTTCACAATACAATGTTGCGAACTAATAACTAATTCAAATCAGGATGCTATAGGTTTAATCCCCCACTAAATTGGGAGAATGGATTTCCTTGCTCTTTCTCCCCACTCTCCCAAATTATCTAAAAATCTAACCCATAACCCCGAGCCAAAGGTTAATAAAATGTACTCATTCTGTTTTCAAATACTTGACTTTTTAAAAATAACCACATTTGTTACACTTTTACATTAAGGTCCTTTTTGGTTGAAGGGATGGAAAAGAAAAGAAAGGAAAGGGTTTTACTCATGTTCTCATGTTTGGTTGAATTAATAACATGAGAATTCAAAGGAAAGAAAGGGAAGTGGGAGGAAAGTTCCTTTACAAATTTTTAGCTTTCCTTTCCTCCCAACATTGGAGGAATTTGGCAAGAAAGAAAAAAGAATTGAAGCAGCTTCTAAGGTCAGTTTTTTTTCCTTGCATATGTACGCCTTTTACATTTTTTTTTCCTCATTCTGTATTAAAATTTATATTTTACTTCGATTTCTCTTTCCTGTTTTTTCTCATAATCATCTCTAATTATTTTGGCTATGCACATCCTTTTCTTCAGGTATGTTTCGCTTTCTCTTTTTAAATTTAGATCTCTTAATATGAAACTTGATGAATTATACAACACAAAAAGACACAAATAATAGGATTTCACTATTTCAATTTTTATGAACTAGGATGACGAGTGACTATAAGCTGGAGATGAATCATCCAAGAAATGGAAGAAGTATGTGGTTAAAAAATATATATCACATAAATAGATTAATCATGTACATGTTATTTATGGAGTCTAATAATGATTGTTGAACTATTCAAATTAAAGAATGTATACGGTTACTTCCAAATATAAATCATAGTAGGCAGTTATTTTATCTCAGTGTCATAAAAGACAATTATTTAATAAGTTATATTGGAGTAAAAATTATTTTTAGATAACAAATTCAGGTAATGGGATAACACCATATAAGTCATTACCTTTTAGTTAATGTTATTACTATTATTACTACTACAATGGTTGGGAAAAAGGGACTAGCTGCATTAAATGTATTATGTTCTTAAGATTTTGAGAATTGATATACTCCCTCCATTCCTAAATGTGCGATTCACTTTGCATTTGCACGGTTTCCAACAAACATTTTTGACCATTAATAACTTTGGCTACGTATAAGTAAAATTTTTAAAAAGTTGATGTTTTGAAAAGTTATCATAAGGGAAGGAAAAATTAGAAAATAACACCACAAAATCCATAAAAAAATGGATTATAACACCACAAAATCTCAAACTTTTATTTTAACACCACTAAAAAATCCAAAAATTGGATTTCACCACCATCTAACGGATTCTTGGATGGAATCCGTTAGTGGGGCTCACAGTGGACACGTGTCACTCAGCGACTTGTTTAAAAAAAAATAAAAACAAAAAATAAAAAAAAAAGATTAAAACCCTAAATCCTAATCCAACCCAGCCCCACCACACCTGCCAAGCCGCCGACAACCCAACCCAACCGCCGGAACCCCCTAACCTCTCGCCGGAACCCCCTGACCCCACCAAAACCGCCCACTCCACCAATTCCCCCTTCCGCCTTCACAAAAAAATATAATCAATTGAACCGCTGACGTGGACAGTATATTTGGAATTGATAAAAATGTGACTGTATTTGTGGAATTACAACACTTCTCAACATTATTTTGGGAAAGCACTCGAATAATTCGTGCAATCACTAATATTTTTTTTATTCTGTTTTAGTCTATCAATGAGTGTGGAGTAAAAAAGTTGGGTGATGTTTGGCATTGCAGTATTCTAGTTTTAATTTGCTGATTAGGACGTTTTTTGTTTTTTTTTTTTTCACAATTTTGAAAATAATTCGGTTTGTAAACAATTTAGTTTCGGTTTAAATAGATTTTTTATCCAATTCAAATGATTTCGGGTTAGAAACGGTTTGGATTAACAATGGTTCGATTATGTTTTGATTAGGTTCTATTTCATCATTTCGGTTTAGACACGGTTTGGTTTGTTATCAGGTTCGATTATTTTACGTTTTAATATTATTCGGGTTGGTTTAGTTTTGGGCTTACTAAAAAACGATACGGGTTGGTTTTCAATTTCAAATAATCGATTTGGTTCAATTTGGGTCGGTCAGTTTCGGTTTGAAATTTATAAGTGACTTATTGCATAATAATAGATTAATAGCATAATGGGTGTTAATTTTTTTTTTTTTGACGGGAAGCGAAATCATTTTATTAAGATTCAAGGGTGTTAATCTTACTCACAACATGACTCAATTAAAGTATTTTATAAAAAATTAAAAAAAACTAGTGCAAATGTGATGAACACGGTACCAATAACGAGAATAATTGCATTTTTTTTTCCTAAACTATGCCCTTGAGATTGTTAAGTTTCTAAGGTGTACCCATATTTTTTCAAAATTACAAATTGTGCCCTCCAACTTAAGGTGATTAATCAATCGTATCCTCTAATGTTAACTCAACGTTAGTAATTGTAAAAAAAAAGGGAAGTAATAAGAAGCGAATGAGGAAAAAAAAAAGAAAAAGTACACCGATAGCTTGACATATCAATGGTTGCTTGTAAAAGAAAGAAGAAAAGTAGATGAGAAAATGTGAAAAATAAATAAAAAATTGCTTACTATTAATCCCCTAATATAACTCTAACCAATTTGGAGTGAAATTTTTCTCCAAATTTGGATAATTAATATTTAACACAACTATTAACATTGGGTTAACATCAAATAGTACGGTTAAATAAATATTTTAAGTTAAAGGGCACATCTTGTAATTTTAAAAAGTATAGGCATACCTTATAACTCAATTAACCAAAGGGGTAAGCTTAGAAAAAAAAACCTTTTTTTTAAGAAAGAATTGCATTGGGTTGTTGGGGAATAAACGGAGTACTTGCTATTAGGTCCGTTATGCCAACTGTAATACGGAGTAGTACGGGAATTTCAAATGTGGCAAAACATCCTAATAAGACAAAAGGAAATGACCCCTATACCCATAATAAATGATTGAAAAGACTTTTATACCCCCATAATTTACAAATAAAAGATACTACCTCCGCCCACGAATATCTGCAACATTTGCCAAATTTGGATGCTTGGAGTATCTGCAACAAATTTTTTTCTTTCCTTTTTTGGTAATATTTAACTATTAATTACCTACTATTACTCACTTTTTGGTTAGTGGTCCCCTCCACCACTTATTACCCACTACCTAAAACTCACTACAAATATTTGTGTTCACACTATAAATACCAAATATACCCTTATTTTTCAACACTTAAATGTTTAGTTTATATATATCATTATATGGGTAATTTTGTATTTTTACCTTTCTCTCTCATTAATTAAACCCACCAAAACTCAATTAACACTCCCCTGAAAGTTTTACCTAGGAGTCCACTCATTTGTACTTTGTTGCAGATATTCGTAGGCGGAGGTAGTACTACCAAAGGGAAAAAAAAAAGCCGATGAACATAGCCCTGGATAGTGCTTCTTTTCTCTCTGATTCTCCATTGAAGTGCACTCAACATCCCACTTCACGTTTTCCCCATTGAAGCAGTTTCCGAGGTAAGTTGTTTCTTTTAGTAATCATCATATCAATTTCAAAATCTAGGGTTCATCTTTCATCTAATCTAATTTAATTATCTCAATTATATTGGTTCTAAATACTAATAGTATGAAAGATCATAACCAGCGAAAAAACAAAATTATGTATTTTTTCCCTGGGCATAGGGCGGCCGCCCCTCCTGCCCTGCTTCAGGGACGGGCCTGCCTCTTGGTTGTTTAATTTGTGCTAATCTTGGTCTGGATTGTTTTGATTTTGGTTTTTACCTTGATCTTAAGGAATTGATAATGTGGTTGAGTTTGATTTAAATCTTATACTTGATTAAGGTATCTCGTAGAAATTCTAAATTCAATTTTGTCTCTTTAAAATTCAGAATTTCAGAATTTGCACAAGATGTAGAATTTTTCTTGTTTGTCTAATTTGTTGTTGTTGAACTTTTGATGCTATTGTTGTCTAATTTGTTGTTGAGGATAAACGAGCCCAACCCAATCTGACATGATATGGATATGAGGTTGAAACGTTGTACCAGCACCACTACTACCTTGCAAGAGGACGTTCATAATAGAAACCTTGATAGACTTACTTGCCTACCTGATGAATTGTTAATTTATATAATTTCTTCACTTCCTACTAAGGATGCTGCTGCTGCTTGCACCTCCTCTAAGAGGATGATTAACAATATATTCCATTCGCTTACCAGCCTTAACTTTGATGATTCGCCTATAAGTCATTGTTTGGTGACACCCTATGCAATCGAACGTTTCCCCACTTTTGTTGCCTTTGTAGACTCCGTTCTCCTATCATACCACTCTCGCTATCTTACAAGCTTTAGTCTTGGAGTGGGTGCGCCTGTGTTCAGAGGTCCAGGTATAATCCCAAGCATAAAGAATATCGGTGTCGCAACGGCTGTTGTCCAGACTTGAAATCCTCGCATATTAATGCTTGGATTTCTTTTCCTTTAACCTTTTCTGGACTCAAGGAGCTCAACCTCCGTATTAATGTGAGGGAAGAAGGGGATATTCAGCTGCCACCGGAAATTTTCACGTGTGAGACATTAGAGATTTTGAAGCTTGATACTAACCTTGGTCTTGAATCTTGATCAAGCTTCAACCTCTACATCCTTCCGTCTTCCCAGCCTGAAACTACTCTCCTTTCGTGCTGCTATGATTCCCGACGATGGCCTTGTGACAAGGCTTGTTTCAAGCTGCCCTATACTTGAAGATCTCACTTTGGTTGCAACCTGGAAACATGCCTGTTATATAAGTATCTCTTCATCTTCTCTTCGGAGACTATCTCTGGAAGTGTGGAACAAATTTGAGGAGCATCACAGCAGTGACTTGGTACTTATTCATACTCCTAATTTGGAGTATCTTCACTACACTTAGCATCACATTACAACATCACAAACATGGATCGCCTTGTCGAAGCAGACCTTGATATTGAAAATGACTTATTGGAGGTTGCATTTGAGGTTTCTGGCCAGCTAAAACTCAGCCTTTTGAGGCCATTGTCTAATGTTCAGCATTTAACTTTGATCGATTTATTTTTACAGGTTTGTCTCAATTTCTGATCTTGCCTCCATTCTGTCATCAATTTGATTTTAATTGATTAACTGACTTGACTGCTTGTTATCTGTTGATATAAAGAATTAAACCATGAAGATTTAAAGGATCAACTGCCGGTGTTTTGTTATTTGAAGTGTTTAGAACTGGGTTTCTATGAAGGTAGCTTTTGGGATAGTATATTATTGGGATTTCTTAATTGTTCGCCTGTCTTGGAAACACTTGTATTCCCTGAGGTTAGTGTACATGTCGCTTTGTTCTAATTTGATATATTTTCACATACATGGATTGAATTCAGGAATGGTTTAACAAATTTACTTTTATTGCCATCTAATTTGCAGGGGTTAACTGCATAGCCTGATTGCCATGAGGAGGAGGAACTTGCTTCAGAACAACAGTTTTGCAGAACAGCTCTAGCAGATGTGCCTACCACATGTTGCAGATATCATCTTAAATAAATTGTGATTAAAAGTTTCTTGGGATATGACAGGGAAATAGATTTGATCCAATTTTTCCTGACGTATGCATTAGTTCTGGAGAATTTGGTCATATACCCGGGTCGCAGTGCAAATGTAGATCAAATGATGACAGTTGAGAGCACACTGCAAAACTTACCGCGTGCCTCTGTCACCTGTTCAATTCAAGTAGTGTAGATTTGGATAGTTGATTTGTTGTAATTGCTTCAATTTTGGCATTTTTCTGATGTTAATTGCTGCCCTAGTACTTTGCTTTTGATGATAATTGATTGTTTTAACAATGTCAATCTTGTGATTTCAGGGAATATAAGTTGAAATTCTTGATTTGAGAATTGAGAGCATCATAAATCTGCACATTTGTTTCCTGTTATCTACTAGTTAGGGTTGTGATTAATAACTTGTCTTATGTCATACTGTAGGTTATAAGGGCATCGGAATGAGTATCGATATTCTAAAATTACAAGCACTATGTTTCTTTGATAGGTTAGGAATTAAATATGGGGATTAGATTCTAACTATAAGACTCTTATACTTCTGATTTAATTTCACCCTGCTCTTGCTCGGTTGCTCCTGGTGGGATTTACTACTCTCGGGAAACTTTAATGGCTTGAAATGCCAATTTTGTAGTTAGGGAGAGGATTTATGAAGGTTGTTCAATTGATTTGGTAAATTTGTTACATATTTTAATACTTTTTAAATTGCAAACCAAACATTGGAGTGTTATTGCATTAAGTGAATTCTCAATCACTCACTCCCATTCTTTAACTCCAATATCCTTTTAATTAATGCCTTCAATCTACTTTACAGCCTTCTGTACTTTCTTTTGTGGCTTGGGGAAAGGAGGATAGGATTGTAGCTTTCAGTGTTTTATTTATTTATTTATTAAGATTGTGTGCTCTTTTTTCGTACATTTTTTTAGTCCTTGTGCATCAAAGTTTGATCACGCAGTCTTGAAAGTTTGTTTGAGGTGACTTTGGCAATCAGCCTTTTAGGTATCTTAGTTACTAAATCTAGCATTTTGTTTTACCTGTCCCTCCCCCAAGAGAAGGATTTTTTTTTTTTTTGAGGCAATTCCGTGGTGATTTCGCCTTAGGAGAATGGGAACACCGTCTTTTTGTGGTCAAGGGGTGAGGAAGAATTTGAGGAAGAGAACAAGCTTAAGAATACTTGAGACCTATGCTTGCTCTTGCTGTATTGATTTTTGTACCTATTCAAATAATTAAGCAAATAAGTGATAAGTACAGAAGCTCTAATTAAATTCATTAGCTTCTGTTTGAGTGAAACTGAGAACAAAAGAGGGGTGTACAAGGGATGAGAGGGGAAGTTGAATTAGAATACTGAAAAGGAAATTCACTTCTATTTTTATAGATCAAATGTGATGTAAAGGAATACTTGGTGCCTTCAGAGAAGTGTTTTGAATCATCATTGATCTCATGATGCTGTCAAAATGTAAAGCTTCCTGATAATTTCATTTATTATATGGTTTTGTGGAGTCATTAAGGCTTTTGAGCACAAAGTTGGGTTATGATGCAATTGAGAGCGGTAGTATGAGTCTTGTTAAGGCAGTTATTTTAGTGTGTTACTGTTTCAGGAGTTGAATGATAAAGGGTGAATGTGTAAATGGTGTGACTTAAATGGGTTGATGTGTAAAAGGTGCAACTCAAATGGTTGCAAATCTCTCAATTGATCATATTCATCAGCATTTTAAAGTGAACCTAGACCTAGTCAAGGATGAGAACTGAAAATTGTATGCTCCAATTATATCTTGTATGATTTTTTTTCTTCTAAATAATACTGTGTCAATCCATGACATCATTATTTCTAATTGTGTGAAGGGAAAATTGTCTATGACTTTCACATTTACATTTAAAGACTTGATAATTACTGCAAATTTAACATGTTGCTTAATAGGAGCGGGAGAGGCCCAAGCCTGGGAGAAGACCTGATATATTTCCTCAATTCAGCCCTATGGAAACACCATTACCACCTCCTATGCCTGCTGATCCACCAGAGAAAGACGAGGATGACGAAGAAAAGAAGGAAGAGGAAAAGGAAGAGCAAGAAAACCCAGACAAACCGCAGTGATAAATGAATGTCTTGCTATTAGGCAGTCATTACAATTCATATTCGATATCCTCAGTAGCATAGTCAAATGCATAGATCCTGCATATAACAGAGCTAAGGTTGGTATCCACATCAATTCTCTGGTTTAAGCACATGAGTTTATAACCAGGTCCTGTGCGGGTTTAGTGTTTTTCTGGGGAGTTATCCTAATTTTGTAGTATTGAGGCGATTTTATTAGGTTTTGTAATGCTATTCAAGGAATAAGGATGGTTTCATTTCCTTGTAAGTTGCCTTTACTTCTCTAATTACATCTTATTTGGAGTTATGTAGTTGGCCATTATGTTGATACGGTAATATATTGCACTTATTTTCAGTCTTACGTAGCTTAGAGAAGCTTTATACTATACCTCAGCTCCTTTCCCTTTCAAGTGTATTTCATGATTCAAATTTCACTCTGGTCATTTCAAATGTGAGCTTGTAAACCCACGACCCAACAAAAGTTACAAATTTTTACCTACACCCCTATGTAGGTAGTTTATCGATATTATACTTAAAATAATTTAACACTTTTAAATTAAAGGTCTACATGATAAAATAATGGTTTATGTAGTCCACCTCGGTCTATCACTAAGTTATAGGTTTCCATGTCTTATTGTTGTTGCTACTTGATATAGTAATCAACCATAGTATTAGCTCCGTGGAAAATTGAAAAGAAGATTAGGAATATATGCATGTGAAAAGAGAGAAGGAAACATAATAAAAATAGAATGCAAATTGTACTGAGTATGTATGCCAGCTTCCCCTAGCTGGAAGGACCACCCTTTATTTTGGAAAGTTCCATCGTTTTTACCTCTTTATTCTCCACTAACTCTTCTGAATTTCCCAGTCATTTTTCTTTTACCATGCATGTTACTATTATGTTACCATTAGCTTTTCATGTTTATGATATTGATTGACTTATGTTTCACCTAATTTCCCACCCTCTCAAGATATATATACTCCGTAGTAATGTCTTTTGTGTGTTTAGATTAATTAAAAAATGAAACATATACGTGTAGCGTATAAGGCAGTATATATATATATATATATATATATATATATATATATATATATATATATATATATATATATATATATATATTTATTTTTTTTTGACATCAGCGTATAAGGCAGTATAACTATCCCTCTTTTTTAAAAAATAAATAAATTTATTGGACTACAACATTTTAAAATCAAACCATATAAGGGATTAAGTCGAATAGAGTGTAATTAGTATGTGAAGAGGCTTGGATGATATTTGTTATGTGGAAGACGATAAGCAAAGCCTCACCACAATTACATGTTATTATCTCGTGCTTGGAATTTGGAGATGAAAATAAGAAAGGCGTAAACTGCTATCCTTCATCGATCAACTAGCTAGCTAGTAAAAAATAAATAAATAAATAAAAAGTAGTGTATTATCTACCAAAATTATTAATTATAATTCATGGTACATAAAAACTTACTAGGCTACATAATTATTAACAAGTTTTTATTGTTTTTGTCAAAAATTAAAAAAAAAGTTTTTATTGTGTATACCAAGTCTTCCTCATAGTTTGGTTTTAATTCTCTATAACATGCATGTTATATATTTCTATGTGCTAATTATTGCTACCTAGAAATTAGGTAGCTTAGCTTTTAACTAGCTATGTAGCTATGAATATGATTGTATTGATTGTGCTCTTTAATCTCGTTCATCTCATTGTCTTATTGTTCCATAAGATCATTCTAATAAATAATCACAACTTTCTCGATCACATTTTCATGGTACAAGACTACAAGCTACGAGTATATAATTTTGAACCCAAAATTACAAGTTAATATAAAAGCAACTTTTATTATTGAATGAAGGTTGATGAAACACTATACAAGGTACTTTGATTCTTCTACTAACTATGACTTGTTGCATAAATAGAAATTGTGTAATTAGTATGACTTTTTGCAATATAGGCCGTAACGTACTAAGGTATAAATCTATTAGTTACGCGGAGCATAAAGTTGTAAACCCAAAAATTACGCGTTGAAATGATTACTTTTACTCAATTTTGTTTAAAATTTAATTGCATATCTCTTGAGGTTTCAAACAAAAAAAAAAAAAAAATTGCAGATCTCTTGACCTCTATGTTTGACCAATTTTATGATGTCTTTTTCTTTTTTGAAATATATATATATATATATATATATATATATATATATATATATATATATATATATATATATATTCTGATAATTTATCTAATTTTTCTTACCCTAACATTAAGGACTAATCTTACCCTAAACTCTACAATAGTTATATACTCACAGTCAAGTTCAAAATCTTCGACCCCTAAAAAAAAAAATTCAAAAATAAAGACAGTTAGTTTTAAGAAATGGAACCACCGCAACCGCCGCAAGCACCGCAACCTATAACTCGTCGGATGCAGGGGTCGACATGGCGAGCGCGACTCACCGTCTGAAATGGAAATATGAATGAGTTCTTCTCGTCGGTGCTTACGATCCTATAATCACAAAATTAGGGACAAAGTAGGGACAACATTATTAGGTATATAAGTACATTGCACGAGTTCCTCTAAAAAAATGTATATTGCACGAGTTATAATTGACATAAAATTTAATTCTTATTTAAAATCCTATAATCATAAATTTTGCGGATTTTTTTTTATTTTTTTAAATGTTTAATGATCAATAACTTTTAATATCAATATAATATTAAACTCAAGTTATTTTTAAAAAAAATAAATTCAAGTATTTGTTTCAATTAAAAAATATTGATTTTTGTAAAAAAAAAAAAAAAACTATTGTTAAATTAACATTACAATTCATAATTAGTTTCAGTAAAAAACGTGCGTTGCACGGGACTTAAACTAGTACAATATACAATCTTAACTAATTAATATAAGATATTTTTCACGTAATTTGTTAATTTATATATGATTTTAATATAATTTGTTTTATATTATTTTGAACCCATCCATAATAAAAGCTTGATTCACATTATTGACCTTGTATCTTAAAGCCCTTTAGTGGTTCTGTCTACTAAAATATTAAAGGGTCAAGACCCTTTAAATTTTGGCCCGATCCTATTATCAATGGGCAGCCTTATCCATTAACCACCCCTAGTTATCAACGCCGTCTCCGTCGAAAACCAAAAACTTATACCTTCTCCCTAACGCACAAGCACAAAGGTGGGTTGCGTTTAAAGGTCCGCACTCTTGAAACTGAATACGCT